AATACAATTACAATAAATTCAAGGGAAAATGATACTGAAGAAAACCACTTGAAAAAATGACATTGAAAGACCATAAATTTATAAAATAATAAAGAAGGACTATGGTTAAAAAAAAAAAAACACGCACACACGCACTCTTTTACCTTGCTTGATATCTTATTTCAGAAAAAAAAAAGTTTAATAAAAATAAAAAACCTGTTTAAAAATGTGCTTTTTATTATCTGTTCTGAAAAATAATAAAAATTAAAAATTATCATGAAAAACTAAAAAATCAGAACATTTGTTAAATATTTTATTACTTTTTGTCATGTAAAATTAGAGAAAAGCATAAAATATCATATTCTCATTAATAATAATTATGTCAATTAACAAAGTAACTAATCATTTCACAACTTTTGACATGTTTTTTCATAATAATTAATGATTCATACAGATTTTTTTTTATTCATAAACCTTGTTCTCAATATTCTTCTTCAGAGTTATTTTAAAAGCGTAAAAATAAAAATAAAAACAGAATCAAATTAAACATGAACCCACATTGACAGTCTTCGAAGCAGGCATAGTTCATCGTCTTCCATTCGCACAGCTGGATGAAGCTCGCGATGATGAATCTCTTGAGACTTTGTTTATAACTGTCAACTAAACCTTTTACCAGAAAAGAAAAACTGTCAACTAAGCCCCGTCACCAATTCCAACGGCAAAATATGAAGGCTTCTTAAATTAATTGACATAATTTAACAACCATCAATAAAAGCCAGTCACTTTTTTTTTTTTTTTGGGGAGTGAGCATTAAGAACAAACATCATCGACAGAATAAATTATTTCCCTAAGGTATTAAGAGCAAATAATAGACCTATCACAATTAACTTGTTACATATACATAAGGATTGATATTCAAATGATAGTCACTTACTCAAGTAATGAGAATCCCTACTAAACTAAAAACTGCCTGGTGAAGGCACTAATTCTAGAGTTAATTATGATTAAAACTGTTATGCAATCATATCAAACCTGTTGTTTTAGTAAATTGGTCAAAACATTGATTTAATGTTTAATGGTTTAACTAGGTGGGTTAACTCAGATTTTCATACTATACTACTTGTGTTAATTTTAGTTCATAAAAGCAAGACACTTCAAATGATAATTGCTCAAATAAACAATCATCTTGTTTTTGTTTTCTTTTTTTCATTTCTAGCATAATGATAAGCATTTGGAATTTATAAACCTTCAATAATTTATAACTTATTTGCAAACCAATCTTCTTATACTTACATAAAGTGTGCAATTAATATCTATTTTCAATTAATCTTTTGATTTTGACAAATAAACTCCTGAAATTTCTAATTAATTGAGTTTTCGAGATTTCCAACTAAGCTATATTACCAATTAGGTAAAGATATTTTAATATAATTTGTCTAGTTGTTTTTATTTTTTTGGACGTCCATGTCATTCTCCCAAATTCAAAATCAAACAAATTATATCAAAGAGTACATAGGAGTTGCGAACCAAATCCTCAAAAGCTTTAGGAATATTGTATTCTCTCTATTAAAAAATTTAAGATATTTTTAACTAAATTTCACATATAATGAAGTAGTTAACTATATTCAAACTAACATTATCTTTTTATATTTACTCCTATTTACTAAAACATCTCACTATGTATAAGTGATTTATATATTAAGGGCACTTTTAAAAAAAACATAATGAATACATCTTAAAATACTAAAAATATGTTATATTTTTAAATATTTAACTTTTGAAGAAAGACTTTATATTTTTTGACAGAAGAAGTAGCATATATCTTGCCTCTTTTGGTTGCTCCGTTTCATTGTACTAATTAATGATGATATATAATAAATATATAATCTTAAAATTATATATCCTTTAAAATTAAAAATAAGTATTTGATAAAATCTGATTAATTTAAAAATGAGATCATATTGATTAGATATCCATCCTTTAAAATGTGCGTCAAATGTGAACTCGGGAAAAGTTGAATCTATATGTGAAGTAAAGAAAATAAGAGGTTTATTAATTCAAACTAAAATTAATAAAGGAAAAGATGAAAAGGGGTCGTTTTCTGAACGTAGAAGACAAGAGGTGGCAATTTTCTTGGGCGAGGCCAAGACTGGTTGGACATTGAATATGTGATGTGTGTTGAAGTGGGTCAGAATTCTCAATTATTGTGTCTCGGTGGAGGCCGATGTGTTTACAATAATGATTCAACGTTGTCATCACATTGTCTTGTAATTTCTTCAATTTGGTCCCGCGCTTCAACCCCTTTGAGCCGAGCGTACATAGAGACGCAAAGACACAAACACCAACCAAAGGGTTAGGTTTCTCTCCAGCCCTCTCACAAACTTTCACACGCCTATACTTCTTCCGCATGTATGTTATTGATGGTTAAGTTTCAAAAGATAAAATTAATGAAAGTTAAGTTTTTTATAATTTTTTTTAAAAATCAGTTATAAATATCAATTCAAATAATTATAAATTTAAAAATTTTAATTACAAATAAAATATTTAAATTTTAAATATAATAATTAGTTTTTAGTTTGTATTTTTGTTATAATTGTTTGAATTGATATTTGTAATTAATTTTACATAAATTTTATCAGAGACCTAATTGCAATAATTGATTTTTTTGGGACTTTATTGCCATTCTCCCTGTATGTTTTTAAGATTCCTTTCCTTTTTCTTTTTAATATGATGGTAATATTCATAACTCATAACCATAATTTTTATTTAATTTCTAGATTTAACTTTTGAAATTTTTTAATGAAATTTATATTATTCTTGTGATTGGATATCTTTACCACATGCGTGATGAATGATAGAAACTAAAAAGTATATGATCCCTCTATTTTTATTTGCTAGAGAAGTTGTCATTTTTTATTTATTTTTTAATAAGCAAAATCACATGTCTTAATAAGCATTCATTATATTTTTAAATTATTTATCATAATTTACATTAATGAGAAATAGTTAATATATGTTTACATTGATTAACATCTGTATTTTAGTCTAATTTCTTTATTTTCATATATAATTATTATAGTTAATTGATTTTCTAAAATTGTGTGATATAATTTTTTCTAACTTATACCTAAAAACAAAGGGACACGTTAACATGACTTATGAATAAGGAAACTATATAGTTATCAATGAGAGTCGGATCTTGCAAAAGCAATGAGTCTCTTGCAAATATAGGAGAGATACTCATGTCTGGTACTCAATTGTATTTCAAATTCGATAAGAACACATGTATGAAAAAAAAGAAGACTATATACATAAGTTATATGCCACACTCTCAATTTCAAAATACAACTTTTTAGAAGATTTTAAAACATGTTGTTTAAAAAGTTCAATGTAGCATTTATTTATTGATTTTTTTTCTTATTATATATACTTTTATTTATAATCTAAATGCAGCATTCATGGGCACACATTTTTTTTTTGTATTTTCCTTAAAAGACTATATTTTGAAACGGAATGATGGCCATTCATAAGGTCCTCCTAACAAAATGAAAAAAATCTTCTTCGCCCTACCCCTTGCAATCTCAAATATAAGTCACTTAGTGCGGAGTTTTTATTTTTATTTTTCAACATAGAAGTCACTTTCTAAGTTATCGTTATATAGATTTTTCCTTTAAATATGCTCGTTAACATTTCTCAACAAAAAAAAAAACAAAGCAATATACTATGGAGGGAGGCAAAACCATCCAATTAGAGGCAAAAATGTGGAAAATAATTGTGTTTTGTTATAAATTTAATAATTTTCTCAAGATGAAACCAAACTCTTTGTACATTAGGTTATGTCTTGTCTGATGTTTATACACTCTTATTCACTATTGTTGTAAAAAAAAAAATATGTGTGAAGTATTGGTGACTTATTATTAAAATTGGAAGAAGGAGTGGTCAGTACCCATCAGAGTAGTTCCACTTTGATTTGAAGATATACTTTAAGTAAATTGAGTCCATGAATCATTAGTTTATAATTTTATTTTAATTTATGGTTTATTAAATGTGTACAATATATTTTAATGCTTCTAAAGTTTGATCATCTTTTTTTTTTGGGTAAAAACCATCTACTGTTTTCGTTGATATTATTATGCTAATTATGATTGACGACAGCAAATCAAGTTAAAAAAATTCAACATGCTAATAGTATATTAAATTTAAAAATTATTTTAACGTTAAAATTTGAGGCTAAGTTTTTAACCTAAACCCATTTCGCAAGAATAAAATAGTAATCCACTCTTCGTATTTATCAAAAGAAAACTCTCGACTCATTGGCTTTCATTATTGTATATCTAGTCTCCATATAATGCAAGAATCATCAAACCCCCCTCTCTCTCCCCCCACGAGGACACAGTCATAAAAATATCAATCTGTCGCATCTTGATATTCTTGAGTTTTGACTCATTCTTTTTCATTTTCTCTCTTTGCTACAGCCTTATTAAATTATAATGTGTGACTTCTCTATATGTTCCTATATATCCTATTATCACACGTTATGATGATACCCAGTTGTTACAAGACCATGTATAAAGGTTCTGCACGTACTCTTCAATTCAAACCCCTCTCGTGGATTCTGCATTCCCTGCAGATTTTCTAAAAATTAAGTCAAAACAACCCATAATTTCTGGAAATTCTCTGCTGGTCTTTCCAATATTCTGTTTTCTAGCTTTCCCTGTTCAAACCACACCTTTAACCCTATTTCTTCCAAATTTAAACATCAGAGTAGTTTCGCTTCTGCGACGTATTTGAAACATTCTAAGTTTTGAACACTTCGACGCTTTTCATGTCCTCCAAACTCATGCACTATAAAAGAGGAGACAAGTGCCCATTAAACGCACACAGTTCATCAAAACTTAAAGAACCAAACCTTTTCACTATCAGGTGTATATAACCTAATATCCTTCAGCTGATTCTCTTTACATAATTTTGACATTTTTTTTCTTTTTTGAAGTGATTATATTGTTGATTTTAATTTTCAGAGGAATGGAAATGCCAGCTCTAAGAATTGCAGACATGGAGAGCGAGGAAGGAAATCAGATGGCGCTGAGGATTTCAAGTAGCTTTAACAAGCGAAAACATCAATGAGTTTTGTAATAATAAGCTTGAAAGGTTCGATGAAAATACAAGAGAAGACTCTAAATGTGAAGAGAGAAAGAAGGTGAAAGCTGAGAGACTCCAAACTGCATTGCTCTTACTCAAATTTCTGGTTTCACAAGATTGTCGTCTGGAAGGGTACGCAATTAAGTTGAATAATATGTTCAACAAACAAATATTCATATTTCTGCTGATATGCTGCAGAAAGTTTAAAAAAACCCTAGAGATCTCGTGATCACTTTTCTCTATCAATTATCAGCTACATTCTAACCAGGGCCTGATAAGAGCACTTGATCTTAACATATATAAATAATATAAGAGAGAGGTTAGATGTATGCATTCAACAAACAAATATTCATACTTCTGCTGATACTGCAGAAAGTTTTATAAAAACCTAGAGATCTCATCAGTTCTATCAAGCATCATACTGTACTTACGTAACCCAATATGCATAAGAGCACGCAATGATCTTTAACATAAATATAATAGCTTGAATTCTGATTCTGAGGTTGGTATGTTAAAATGTTGAAATAACATGCCTGCAGGTGGAAAGCTCTGTACTCAGGTGGGGATAGATGGTGCAGGACTAGTAGTGAATCGCGAAGTGACAAATCAAAATCAGCAATTTCAAAGTGGGCACGAATAGGTAGATTGGCTGCGAAGGTATATAAACTATAAAAGCCTTTCGGAGCTTCAAACGTTGATGACATTTTGACGATAATAATTATAAACTTTAAATGATGTGTTTTTGATTGGCCAACCAGCTTGTTGATCATCTTGTTTTTAAAACCTTCAATCATTTCTTAAAAGGGCATATAGTTGACTTTAACATTTCGTCTTTTCAAGTTGACTAAAGATCTTACGTATAATTAATTATTTAAAGACGAAGGAGCAATCGATTAACCTTTTTAATGGTGTATGTGTTGGTAGGTGGGAAAAGGTTTGTCCAAAGATGATAAAGGCCAGAAGTTAGCTCTCAGACACTGGCTTGAAGTTGTAAGTTCACATACTTTAACCCTAATTAAAGCTAGTTTTTTTTTCCCTCCTTCTTCTACTAATTTTTGTCTTTTAAATTTTTGATTTCATTTCAGTGAAATAGTTTTTTCATTTATTAATAATAAATATAAAATTATTTTTTCTGCTCATTTAAAAATATTAAAATTTTAAATTCTAATTTGTATTAAATTTAAATTATTTTAATACAGAAAATATTCTCAATGCATGGATTTCACGTTAATTAAGTTCGGTGATATTTCAAAGGTGGACAGAATGAATTACAATTTTCATTCTCAATATATATATATATATATATGACAAAAATATTGGAATGATAATCTTCTAAACCGATTCTTATTTTGTTTTTTTTTTCCTTAAAAATTCAGTTTTGTTCTTTCATTTGTTAAATTCACATGAAATTGATTGAATTATTAACCTTTCGTCATAAAACAAGTTTGTTGTGGCTAGAACAACCACGCTGGTGTCTCAAAAGGCCAAAAAATATGGCACTATATAATCACTGAATTGTATTCATGAAACACATCTAGAATGTTAAATTTCTGTAATGTTGTAGAAACATTTCTAATTTTTTATAGAGCCATAACTCTTAATTTCTCAAATCAAAACAATAAAAAACTAGCTAATAGGGCAATCAGTCCCTAAGGGTACGAATTTTTTTTACGTTTTTAGATACTAATTATTTTGTTAGATCACATAAGTAATTTTTTTTAGATTATATCAATTTCATTCGACTGTTAATTACAAGCAAGTCAGGATGAAATTGAGAAAACTTGTTAGCTAAATTAAAATTTTAGTAATTTTTTGTTACAAAAATGCATGACAATGCAAAGTTTCGAGTTTCTTTGCAGGTGTTTGGATTTCCCATAGAATTTTAAATGAATATATTGACTAAAACTATATATGGTTTGGGTAAAAAAAGTTCCCAAAACACTTCTGTTTGTTCTCAATCAATTATCTAAGCTGTAACCACGCTTGGTTGAAGTGGGCATGGGTTGCTTATCGATTTCAATTTTCACTATTACTAGCATTTATTGGGTGATAGAATGTTGGGCTTCTGCTTCACTGATCCTCCAACCTTCTCCTCCGCTTGCCAAATATTAAATTATTAATATTACAATATAATATAATTTAAATTTCTAATTAATCAGTATATAATTATATATTAAATAATTATTTAAATATTAAATGGATAACTATTATATATATATATATATTGTATAGAACTATTATAAATATTTAATTTGTTAAATAGAGTTCAACAAATTTAATAATATTGTATACAACTTTATTAATGTAAGGCATTTTTAGCATTTTAAAGTGTAATTATTGCATTTTTTTCAAAAGTGCTCTTAGTAAATAAGTCACTTTATATTTATTTTAGAGTAAAATACCTTATTAAATAAGAGTAAATATGAAAAGATGGGGTAAGTTTAAAGATAAATAATTATTTTATTGGAGAGTAAGATTCAGTTAAAAATGCTTTACATTTTTTAATGGAAGAAGTATTTAAAATTGATTTTAACTAAATTATGTCCAAACATCATTACATTATAACATAATCAATTATAATAAAAATTAATTATATTAATCAATTTTTTAATAATTAATTGTACTAAACTAAAATCCAAACAGGATCTTAGCCTCTATGATTGTTTCCGATGTCTTTTTTTTTTTTTTTTTTATCAGATAGATACCCAACATCGTTATGGACACAACTTGCACTTCTACTATAACGTTTGGGTTCGTAGCCAGAGTTCTCAACCTTTTTTTCACTGGTAAATATTAATTAGAATCACAAGTAAGCTTTAGCAACATAGATTTCTGCACAAGTTACATAATTTTCTAATTTAATTTCATGATTTCATTAATTACAATGATATGAAGGTTGGATGATGGAGATGGCAAAGATTTAGATCTGGAAAAGTGCCCAAGAAGTGAATTACAGAAACAGTGCATTCACTACTGTAAACCTGTAAGTTTAAATTTCTTCGGTAAATGTCAACAGCAATCAATAAAAAAATTAAATTCTTATAAATTATCATATAAATATTAATTGAGATTCACACACACACTCCATACTTTGCTTCTTCTTTTTCACTAGTATACATATTCATAACTTTCTAAGCCAGCTTTTTTTCCAAAAGTTTTAACTTGAATATGAACCGCCTCTTTGTTTCATATCAATGTTAGACATACATGCAAATTTACAAAGACTCACTTAAATAAGGTGGATTCCATTTTAGTCATAATCTTCATGCTCTCTGGGTCTATCTTTTCTAAATTGATAAAACCTGCAGGAGTGGAGGGGCGAGGAACACCAAACCAGCTAATATTATATATATATATATATATATATATAAATAGACCCTCCAAGATTTATAAAAGCTTTGTAGTGTGTGTGTGTGTATGCTTTTTACTTTTAATCTCGATCCTCTCAGTTAAATCCTAGCTCCGAAAATATATACAATGGAGATCTAAGAAGTATTTGAGCATGAACATTTATGTGGTTAATTTTAAATCAAGTTTTAATAAGTGACGTGTATTATATATATCGCAGCAAGAGAGGAAAGCATATGAAGTGACAATAAAAGAAGGGAAGCTTGTGTACAGGAAAAGCAAAGTTCCTGTACATACACCTGAGGGATCAAAGTGGATATTCGTACTCAGCACATCAAGAACTTTGTACATTGCAGAGAAGAAGAAAGGCTTCTTTCATCACTCGAGTTTTCTTGCTGGTGGTGCCTCCATTGCTTCCGGAAGATTGGTTGCTTCCCATGGAGTTCTTGATGTACGTATAGCTATAAGACTCACAATTTCATTTCCTTCATCATGTTGATGATTCTGATTTACATGCTTGCTCAGGCTATCTGGCCCTATAGTGGTCATTATTGTCCAACTGAGAAGCATTTCCAGGAATTCATTACCTTCCTGGAAAAGCATAAGGTGGACTTGAGAAGTGTCAAGGTAATTATTAATAAATTACAATATTGTTTAAGCCTTACTGCACAAGGTTTCATAGTTTTGAACTTCGACTCAAGCACTAATCATACTGTGAATAAGCAGAAATATGCAGTGGATGATGATGTACCTCCATCAAAACCAGTTGAGGAGGAAGAACTATGGCTTGATTGCAAAGTGGTGGACATGAATGCGTATCAAAGAGAAGAAGAAGGCATTATTGTGGAATCTTTACAGGTGATGAAGGAGAAGAAGCCATTGGTAGTTTCAAGCGAAAGAATGACTTGTAGGATTAATGGTTATGGAAGAGATCATCATCATCATCATCATCAGTACCCTATAAAAGCGCCGATTCAAGAATTTGAAAGGCTGCATATATCAGCTAGCAGCGTTAACGTTAGCAATGGAAAAGGTTGCAGAAAAGCATCAATACCTATTATACCTTCTCCTCCAATAAGTGTTGCTCCCAAACTCACTTATCATCTTCACCTGATCAGATTGTGCGTATGGAGAATCCCACTCCAAGGTTACGTGTCACTCCTGCAAATTAGGTCTACAGAGAAGAAGTTCATTAAACAAAGAGCGCGCGCGCGCGCACATGTTACAGGATCTATTTATTTATATTTACTTGGATATACATGTAAAGAGCCCTTACGTCTGTTTTCCTTGTACGCACACCAGTTGGTTCACTTTTATTATTTTATTTATTTATTTATTGTATTATTTGTCGAAAGCAGATCATCAATGTGATAAATAAAAGATTCATAAGATTTTCCTTTGTTTGCAAACAAATTCTTTTGATCATTTTTCTAACTCCAATGATTTCTTTAACTTTTTAGGGTGTCAGTCTTTTCTGATTAAGAGAATTATATACAAGTTACTCATAAAATAATTAAATACTACAAACTCTATTCATAACTTAGCCAAATAAAATGATAATTAATTAATAATGGACCTCGTTTAATTGCAATGTGAGTAATCTCAGCACAATTCTCCCCTCTCTCTCAACCCCACCCCCCTCCAAAAAAAAACAAAAGAAAAACAACAGCAACAACACACGCACGATCTCAATCTTTCTAATAAAGTTTTAACCACGATTGCATGACGGGAAAGTTCTTCAGGCATGTTTTATTTTTCTTAGGTCATTTTGACTTGGTGGCTATAAATTTCAAGAGAGCCCTTGAGAAAAAAGGATTAAAAAAATAACTCAGTACATATTAATTCTTCTTTGATTTCTTATGTAGGGGTTAACCTTTGGCCAAAAAATGTTGGGGTTAATCTCTCGTCTTTTACTTGAGCACTCCACATCACACTTGTAAAGGATCTAATTCCTGTTTACCCAATGTGGGTACATTTTGGGCCATATGTTTGGATATGTTGATATCCATGACTTCAATTTTGGGCCCAAGTTTCTGGGCAACGTCTTGAGTAGTTTGGTCGTCAAAGCGGGCTTACTAAAACTATGTTAGCCCACAATATATTAAACCTGCTCAAGTTTCTGGGCAGCGTCTTGGGAGTTTGGTCGTCAACGCGGGCTTACTAAAACTATGTTAGCCCACAATAAATTAAACCTATTTGCGGTTGGAGCTACAGTGCCTCAATGACTCTGCAAGAGATTGTGACAACGACATATGAACCATTGTCAAATCGGAGGGAGCGTGGGAAAATAGACTGGGAAAAGTCTTCGCAGATATCCGTTACATGTTCATCGATCCGCTTTTTCTACAAAAGAACATTTAAATTTAATTTCAAATTTCAAAACAATTTTCAAGACGCTCTCGATTTGTCTCACCTAGTCACCTTACTTAATAAAGCAGAGCAGAGGAAGCTCCTCACTCAGAAAACCCCAGAACTTGTACCCTCTATTTCTGTCTCCATTCACGTTTTCAGAATCTGCTTGATCTCGGATCTTTTTTTCCTGCAAAAGGGTAATCTTTATCAAATGGGTGCTTCAGGACGATGGTTAAAATCCCTCATTTCTCATAAAAAGCCCTCCTCAAATGATCCTGTAAGTAACCTGACTATGTTCTTCTTGTCCTGTTTGGTTGTCAAGAGTGTGTTTAAAAATTGTTCTGGTTTTGGATTTTAAGGAGAAGGTTGGCGATAAGAGTAAGAAGAAATGGAAGCTATGGAGAAGCTCTTCAGAAGGTTTTGGATTTGGGTCCTCCGCGAAAAACTTGAAGAAGGGACGCGATGCTGCATCCGAGGATCTGATTCATCTACGTTCGTGGTGGATGACTCACTTGCTTCTGCCATGGCTACTGTGGCAGTCCGAGCTGCTCCTAAAGATTTAATGCTAATCAAGAATGAATGGTCTGCTATTCGCATTCAATCTGTGTTTCGAGGTTTCTTAGTAAGTGGGATTTTCACTGCTCGGCTAATTTTACTATGCTTCAGCCAAACTAACTATGCTTGTTGTCCTGCTTTTCAAATCGTTTCCCACAAATTTTAAATGTTTGAAGTGTTTATGAGTATCTCATCCATGAACATTTTAGTAGCAGATATAGCTTAAGTTTCATTATAATCATGCTTAAGACATCCTAATCTTAACACAGTTTTTACCGGTAAAAGTTCACTTTTTCTGTGGCTTTTGTAGAGATATTAATTAGTGTGTGTATTGTTTTATTAATTAGCTTGAAATAAGTTCATTCATGTCGAATGTTGCTACTTGCTAGACCTAATCATATTTGCAGCCTTTGAAAATGCTCTTGCTTGTGTGGGGGTTATAACAACAAGATGTGTTACTCTTTCGTTGGAGTTGGAGTGTTTGTATCTCATGTATGAGCATTGTTTTTTCCCCCCACTGCCATGAGCCACAAATTAGTTATTCATTGGAAACTAATTATCACCATATTAGTTCCAGGATTTGAAGAATAACATCAAATAGATGATTCACTAATGTTTTCCTTATCCTTGTTGAAGGCTAGACGAGCTTTGAGGGCGTTAAAGGCAGTGGTGAGGCTGCAAGCAATATTCAGAGGGAGACAAGTGAGAAAGCAAGCAGCCATAACACTAAGGTGCATGCATGCTCTTGTTAAAGTTCAGGCACGTGTGAGGGCTATGAATGTGAGGATGTCTCCAGAAGGGAAGGCCGTTCAGAAATTATTAGATGATTATCGCAGACAAGCTGCTGATCCTGTTAAGGAGGCTGAGGTCTCGTATTATTCAAGCTCTTTACTGTTTGCTTCTAGATTTTGTGGCATCCACTTATGTGAATGAGGTGTTGTTAACATGTACAAAGATTTTGTACCTGAAATTTCCAGGAAGGATGGTGTGACATTCCAGGAACTGTGGATGAAGTTAAAGCAAAGATACAGATAAAGCAAGAGGCAGTCATCAAGAGGGAGAGAGCAATGGCTTATTCTCTCTCTGCTCAGGTAACTTTTTTGAAATATCAGCACAACATGGTCCTCCAGTAAAAAGATAACATATAAAATGATTTTTTTTTTTAATTTTTGTTTCAACAGTCACGAGTGAGTGGCAGTCCAAAATCAAGAGCCACAAAGCCAGTGAACAAGTGCTTGTTAGAGCAATGGATGACAGCAAAGCCATGGGAAAGCAGGTTGATGGAAGGTACAACCTATTATGGCCAGCCTGACATGACTCCATTGTCCAGCAAAAGCAATGACCTTGTTCAAGAACGACAAGGTTTAATCAGAGCAATGAGGAATGGTGTGACCACAACTATTTCCAATTGGTCTCTCACGACATGTCAATCGACTCTGACATCATCTTCTTCAACCTCGAGTTCTGAATGCTGCACGTTAGATGATAGCCCTGGATCATCAACTTCATACTCATCCATGATATCACAATCTGTACCATTTAGCAGCAATACTCTTGTGCAGGAAACAAGAGAAGAAAGGACGGTTCATAGACCTAGCTATATGAATCTGACAGAGTCAACAAGAGCCAAACAAAGAGCTGGTAGTGGCTATATGAATCTGAGTGGAGATTGTAGAAGTATTTATTCTGGTCCTGATCCTTCAGTTAATTTGTGGAAAGGTGTCTGTGCAACGCCTGAGATGTTGTCTTACCAAAAGAGAAACTTTGGGAGACAACAAAGGTTGGCTTAGTCAACCTTCCAAGGATGTTAAATTTTCAACTTCTTGTTCATTGTCACCTCGACATTGTGAGAGTTGAAGAAGAGATAGTAGTGTTAGTGTAGAGAATGACTTATGGATAGTGTAGTGAATACAAGTAGTTTTTATATCCTTTTTTTTTTTTTTTTTAATTAAGAACTAACATCCACTCCTTCATGCATTGTTCCGGAGCATTTCCTTTATATGTTTAATACATACCAAGTATTATTCTTAAATTTCGATAGTTAATTATACAAAAAAAATTAAAAAAATTGCTTCATGATATCAATGAAATGAAATTATAATGCAATAACCTATTACAATGAAAATTACATCAATGCCTGCAATAATCGTAAAAGTGAAAAACCAAATTGAAGTACGGTATAATTGTCATTTTCTGTCCTTTGAAAAGAAACACTATCTCATCTCTCTTGCAGATTACGAAATATTTTTGGATATAGCACATTAATAATTGTATTTCTTTGGGGTTTTTATCATCATATAGCAATGTTTGTAACTTGTTTTAACAAATATAATTTAACATGACTTAATGATTGACCTTGGTTTTATTAATACCTAGAATGGATTTATGTCTATTCTATAGATTAAAAATCTTCTAATAAAGATTTGAACTATTCAATGTTATAGTTTTCAATCACCAATTTTTCTAGTTTTGTTATTTGAAGGCAAGTTCTGTTACAATGTCTTACTGTTTGATCTATATTTCTCAACAATATAATTGCTACACCAATTGTATTTTAAAAAAAAAATGGTGCACCAACTTTTTCACATGAACTTGTGTGGAGGTAGTCCAAATCTATTTATTGTATTTAAAAATTCTTTTGTGTAAAGATGATCAAATGAATTCATATCTTGTGTAGATTTGCAAATTGAGTCTGAGCTAAAGTGTTCAATACCATCTCCTGGTATTATTAAACAAATGTAATTATTGATTAATTCATTGTTTCTATTGTAGGTGCAAGTATAATTCTATTTGTTGAGGTATCTATTGTTTGTAATATTTGCTAATAAATTTGTATAAATTTCTTCTACAATTTCTTGCATAGGATTTGTGTAATTTGATATCAATTTATGTGAATGAGGAATTTCAATTTATGCTATGCAATGATTTGTAAAATCAAAATATCATTGCCAAGCATAGATGTTGTTATAGACAATTAGTTACATATGTTACAATGAAACAATAACAAGTCATGTCTCAAAACATAAAGTTATATGAATCATATGATCATATAATTATACAGTTGATGATGTAGTATATTGCCTTCATCCGAGTTTGTAAGATACTTTTGGTAAAATTATGCTACTAATAAAACTCATTATATATATTTTACAATATTATTTCCTTTGGTTTTTAATATAAGGAAAAATTAACCAACTTTACACTTGTTAAGAAATGTTAGTAACAATAACTTTAGAATTGTGAAAAAATATAAATTTTTGATTTT